TGGAAGAGGAGGAGAGCCTTGTGGCAGGTCAGGGGCAGGGAGGGATTGTGGACGGAGGCCTCTCTTCTTCCCAAACTCCCACTCTCTCCTCTCTCCATGCTGACTTTCACAGTCAGCGCGTGGTCTCGTAGCTAATTTAACACAGCTCTCTGACCGCCTGTGCACAGGTTTTATATGCCAGCTGCAAAGAAACAGTGTTGGTTGATTCGATGAGGTGTCAGGGCACTACTCTAGGCACGTTACTTACATTCACTCATTTAATTCTCATAACGACCCAGTGGGCACCGTTACCCCGTCTTAGACATTGGAAAACTGAGGCTCAGAGGAACCAAATCATTGCGTCCCGTAAGTGGCAAGCAGTGTGAGCTCCAGGCTCTCATAGAAGGCACGCCACTGCTTCTCATCCCACACAGACATCCAGATCCAGCCCTGCCGGTGAAATTTACACAGTGGCCCTGGGTTTCTGTTTCCTTCCCGGTCACTTGGCTGTCACGGTACTGTCCTGGGAGGGTTTTAAGTGAGGATTCAGTGCGGTAGTCTGTGTCCCGATCAGCACACAGGGTCTGAGTGTGTCAGGATGGCCGTTCGGGGCCCCTCTGGGGGAGGTGACTGGAGGGTCGGCCTGGGGCGTGGGGACCGGCACTTGCTTTTCCCTTTGGGCTGCGGCCGGCGCTGAGTCCGTGGCCCTCTGCCCTCCCCACCCCTGCATCAGGCTACGGTGGAGGATGCCCCTCGGCCCCCCCGCTCCAGAGCCTGCGGCCGGTCCATCAGCGCCACGTCACCGTGCCCGCCAGCCTGCCGCAACAGCAGGTGTTCGCCCTGGCGGAGCCCAAGAGGAAGCCGTCGCTGTTCTGGCACACCTTCAACAAGCTCACCCCCTTCAGGAAGTGACGCGGGGACCGGGAAGAGGGGCCCCCGTGCCCCTCCTGGGCCCCGTCCAAGGAGTCTACTCCGCACGTGGCACAGGGATCCGGTGCTGAAAACCTCTCCTGGGGACGCAGTGAGGAGGACCTGGCCTCGCCTGTGGTCACAGAGGCCCAGCTGCCTTCTCGGGAGGGAGGGGGGTCATGACGCACAGCTCCAGTGTCCCCTGGACCGCTCCCCGCCGTGAGCCCACCGAGGCGGCCGGAGCCGGGGAATCGGAGTGGGCTCTGGAGATGCTGGGCGAGGAGCCGGGAGCATCGCCGAGGACGAGCTGCAGTCCAGGCCCCGGGAGGGGCTCCCCGAGGAGGATGGGCAGGGCCACTTTGCCTTCGGTCTTGAAGGGGAGGGGGAGTGCCGGGGTCACGGGGCGGCGGGCGGTGACCGCAGCCCCGTCGGGGCCCTGGGGTCCCCTGGCGTCTTCCTCATCCACGCAGTCGCCAAATGGTGGGCCGGCCTCTCCCGCAGGCTCCTGCGCCCGTGGTCCAGGGCCCGCGGTGCACAGAGACCCACGCGCTCCATAGACGCCGTTGCTCTCAGGGGGCAGGGAGCCCGCTGCTGGCTTTGTATACTTGTCCCTGCCCGCGTGCCACTCCCCGAGCAGAAACCTGAGAAACTTCACGCGTGTGCACTTCAGTGGGAAAACCGGTTTCATTTCGTTTGAGGACGAAGTGAACGTGCAGATCTCCCAGTTGAAACGTGTCCTTAGAGCATCCGTGTGCCTGTTCCTCCCTCTGCCTCTGTCCTCGCCGATCAAGGGACAGTGACACGTACCTTCTTCCACTGAAAACCACGAGGCTCAAGGGTCCTGCTTCCTCCATGTTTGAAGCCAACTTTATCCCACGCCCCCGAGCAGTAGTGCCAGCCGTGCCATGATTAGCATGTCGACAGGTTTCTGAAGATAGGTTCCGTATGGAAGAGACCTCACGAAATAGATCCAGACTCAGAGAGAGCAGCCCGCTCTAGCGAAGGCCACGCGGCTGACGCCGGTCGGCAGCAACCTCCTTGCCTTTTCTCGATGGTAAATTTTGATGAAAATGGCTTTTAAACGTGCCGGGAGGAAACAGGCTCTGCCAGAGAGACACCTTTCCATTGACCTTATGCACCGGGCGGGGGTCCTGTTACATGTCTTGTGGTTTTCTACTCGGGAACCTCTTTTTGGTGTTGAAACCTCAAAAGTTCTCTTTTCTACCCAGTCCCTGCTTGAGAATAAACACACCTGTATGGTCCTAACAGAGGGGACACCTGAGACTCCAGGTGTGGGCCCCCTCCTCCTCACACCCAGAGCTGTTCCCGGGGGGCGGGGGGACCCAGGCGGTGCTGCCTCTGCGGACCTCGGGGCCCAGGTCCCGGCACGGAAGCCGCTTCTGTGAGGAAGCTCCTCGGGAGGTGCCGTGGGTCCGCGTGTGTGTGTGTGTGTTTCCTTTCTGAATAGACTTCTCAATTTCCGTTGCATTTATATAACTGACCTTTTTACTAACAAGACATAATGATACATTTTGAATACTATGCTTAATATGCTTTTCGTGGGCCGCCTCAGCAAACATTGTCGGACCTCTGTGCTAAACAGAGTTGTTTGTTTATACGGCAGTTGTGAACAGTTGGGTTGCTTTTTTTTTTTTTTTTTAATAGAATTACTTTGAGGAAGTAAAGAAAATCAGTTGCTCATGTTATATTTCCAGTGAGGACTCACCTGCAGTGCAGAAGCACCCAGAGGGCCCCCATCTCCCCCGTTGTCCAGAGCACAGGGACAAAGGGCTGGACGTACTGTCGGCAGCCCTGGTCTGTCTCTCGGCCGAGCCCTGACTCCTGGCTCCCCCTTCCTCCCCTCAAGCTTCCCAACAGAGGAGCAGGAAGCATGGACACCAGGGCACGTGGTGACAGTCCCTTGGTCAGATGTCCATCCTAGGTGGCTCCTGCTTGGATTTCCAGGTGATTTGAAAATTGCTAAAATGCGTTTAAAAGGATAGAACGTCCTTTGTCCTCTTTAAGTCTGTGTGTCTAGCTTGGGTTTATTAGCAAATGCCTGCGTTCTCTACAGGGTAGATGGCTCGGTGTTCTGTTTTTACATTTGCAGAACTTCCTTCTTTTTTTTTTTTTTTTTTTGCGGTACGCGGGCCTCTTACTGTTGTGGTCTCTCCCGTTGCGGAGCACAGGCTCCGGACGCGCAGGCTCAGCGGCCATGGCTCACGGGCCCAGCCGCTCCGCGGCATGTGGGATCTGCCCAGACCGGGGCACGAACCCGTGTCCCCTGCATCGGCAGGCGGACCCCCAACCACTGCGCCACCAGGGAAGCCCTGAACTTCCTTGTTGATTTCTCGCATGTTCCACTTGGAGAGAAAAAGAGAAAAAACGAAGAGACTCCCTGTACAGGTTGTGTATGAATTTCACTGGGAATCTCGCTTTCTCTGTCTGTCTTTTTCTCTTTTTAACACTACACTGCGTGGTATCGGTGGCCCACGCCCCCCCCCAAATAAAGATGGCATAAGATTTTGATGAATTTCACTTACTCTATCATGTTTCAGAGTTTGCCAACTCTGTTGAAAGACCTTTGAAATGGCCTCAGGTCCAAAGCAGCCTTCTCGGTTTTTGATGATGCCTAACATGTATAACAACCTTGCAGTAGATTGTAAGCAGTCGTACAACAGAATATCTGTGGAGTCCTGGAGAAGTGGCATTCTTTGTCTTTGGCCTGCAAACTGGAAGAAGAGTGGCGGGGATTTGCCAGGGCTTTCCTGGGACACCTGTGTCTCTTGCTCTCGGTACATCTGATCTCTTCCCACCCCCTGCCGTAGACCTGATTTTGTAGTTGAAAACATTTCACCCCCATCTCCACATTCCTTCTGAATATCATCGTGCCTTTTTATTCGTAATACGAGGACTGAGCTCCATGCCTGTTCAGAAAATCCCCTCAATCCTACATTGCTGTTGTCTAGACACAGAGCAAAAGTACATTTAATTCAAAACCTGTTTCACAATAGAAATCTTTTGTAAAAGCCACGCACCGGCATTTTATCGGTTGGGAATCTCTACGGGCCCAGACTGCTGATTCTCCTCAGTGCAGATCAACCTAGTCACCAAGCCAGGATAGAAAAACCCGACCACCTGAGTTAGGGAAGAAATCGCGGTGTAATATTTTGTTGAGGAGAGGAAAAACAGACGTGTCCCTCACAGTCCGGTGCCAACAAGCGTGGATAAATGTGGCTCACAGGCCAGGGATGCCAGGCACACATCGAGAAGGCCAGACTGCCCCAAAGCAGTTGTCCCTGTAATAAGCTTAGCCCGCAAGTTCTCCCTGTTAAAGTTTCACCTGGCAGGTGCTGCCCTTCTCGGGATGGATGCAGCGAAGGTGGAGTCCAAAAGATTCGGAAAATAATAAGTGGAAACTGTGATCTTGAAGAAAACAAACAAACCCAGGAGCATAAATATCGGATGCGTATTTAGTAACAACAAACTTAACATTACTGCCTTCAGTTGTTTATTAGGTATCTGACACTTGAATTTAGAAAATACTGTGACTGATTCTGTAATTTACCAGTCGGTCTCTTTTCGTAAATATTAGCGTCCACAGTGTTTGACTTACCTGCTTCGCAAGGTGACCTGTTCCCTCAGTGCTAACTCCCTGGCATCAAGGTGACGTTGTCTGTATAGGTCGAGTGACAGCTTCCAGACTGACGGAGCGGCTGTTGACAGCTGGATTGGGTTGTGCAGGATCGCTGTAACGTGATACGTATTTTCTCTGAAGTTTTTGTAAAAAAAAAAAAAAAAATTTACAATGTTATTTGAATGATTTCTTGTAAATGCTGTGAATCTATATTTGTTGTTTTGTATCTGTATATTAAAGTTAATTTACCAAACTGGCTGTAGTAATGCATTGGAGTGTGTGTGTGTGTGTGTGTGTGTTACATATATATATATATATATATTTATTTTTTTTTTTTTTTTTCAGTACGTGGGCCTCTCACCGCTGTGGCCTCTCCCGTTGCGGAGCACAGGCTCCGGACGCGCAGGCTCAGCGGCCATGGCTCACGGGCCCAGCCACTCCGCGGCATGTGGGATCTTGCCGGACCGGGGCTCGAACCCGTGTCCCCTGCCTCGGCAGGCGGACTCTCAACCACTGCGCCACCAGGGAAGCCCCGTAACATATATTTTAAATGGAGAGTGAGTGCTAGGAGGCTTTCTAGGATTTGCAGCTCCTTCTCTGCCTGGACACTGACAGATTTCTTTTCAGCAAAAAATCATCCATTAATGAACTGATGAAAACTGCTGGGGTGGGTGCAGGAGAAGGAAGGCCCTGAGGGGAACAGAGAGCGGCCACTCGACTCGAAAGAAGCCACCAAATATCGGAATGAGACTGGCAAAGCCAAAACTGGAGTGAGAAGCACAGCTCTGGCTCCCGGGGGCACGAGGCAGATGCGGGCCCTTCCCGGTGGTTCCAGATCCGCAGGTGGCCCCACTCACTTAGCCTTGGTGAGTGGGCTGGATAAGAATTTCCTTCCCTAATTAACAGCTCCGCAAAGTTAAGCAAATAGCCCATTGTTGCTGTGACCGTCATCAGGAAAGCATCCCCACGAAGGTTGCCGCAGCGCCCCTGCTCAGTTGTTTACTGTAACGGCCTTCGGCTCCCCTCCTTGGGCTGGACTGAAGGGGCTTTGCTTAGGGGGTCAGGGGTGTGGAAGCTCTGGAACCTAACCCCCCCTCGGAGGGCAGTTCTCGCAGCTCAGGAGGGCACCCCGTGGAGGGAGGAGAGGGCTGAGGGTAGGGCCGTCCTCAGAGGGGTTCCGGGGAGATGGCCCAGCCCGGGAGCCACTGTCCCACCGGGCACCAGACAGACGGTGAAACGGGCGATCCTCCCATGGGGCGTGTGCTCCAGGGGGGGCGAGCACGTAGAGCATTACTAGAACGCAACGTGCATTGTAAACATTTGAGTTCTAGAAGGATTTTAGGGATGGGGGCCTTTCCGGGGTGGGTTGGGGCAGGAGGGAGGGCCCACGCAGACCCCTGAGGGGGAGCCCCGAGCATCCCTGGGTGAGCTGCTGGGATCCAAGTGCGATGGGAGTTGAGACACCCATGGTGGAAGGTCCATCTCAGGGCTGCGGGCCGGGGCGCTGGCTTGTACCGGGCGGAGTCTAGGCGAGGAGAGCTGCTCCAGGGGCAGAGAAAAGGCGGACTTAAAACCAGAGGCAGGGGGATGACTGGCGAGACAGAATCCAGCAAAGAGACAATGAGAAAGGAGAGAAGGCCGCTGTCAGGATGCTCGGCGAGGATGCAGGTGCCCGTCATCACCTGGGTGGGTGCTGGCCGCTGCTGCCATAATCGGATACAGGAAGGGATGGCGTGGAGGGTGGGTCTGTGACTGTCTGGACCACCCGGTGGAAGCACGGGGCTGGGATGCAGATGGGGGAGGGCTGAGCAGAGAGCAGGCAGCTGGGGGTGAAGGTGCACCTGGGGCCCCCGCCTCAGCCCTGAGCGAGGCAGAGAAGGGGGAAGCGGCCTGGGGTGGGGAAGGGGACAGGAGGGCAGAAGGAAGAGACTGTCCGCAGGGCCGAATGCTGCCCACACGCCTGCCCCTGAGGAAGGACCCAGGTGTCCGGGCGGAGTTAGGGGTCAAGAGGCCAGGTCCTTAACCTGTGACGTAATTAAACCCCGCCACTGCCCTGTGATGCTGGTACTGTTTTGCCTGCCATACAGAGAAGGAAACTGAGGCACAGTAAGGGTAGGGGATTTACCTCTGTTCAGGGGGGACTCTCCCTGCACCCCACTCTCCCTGGGGCCTCTGCATTCCAGCTTGGCTCTCAGAGTTGGTTCTGTGAGAAACAGCATTGGGTGCATTTGTTCTCTCGATGCTATTTTTAAGTCAGAAATCAATGTTAATAGACACTGATGGGAGAAGATAAGAATCAGTGATCACATGGGATTGAAAAAATAGTTGCACTATGTTTTTCTTAGTGCCGTGTGTGTGTGTGTGTGTGTGTGTGTGTGTGAGAGAGAGAGAGAGAGAGAGAGAGAGAGAGAGAGAACAGGCATTAAACTCTTAGGCAGTCGAATGCCTACACTAAAAGGAACTACACAGAGTCAGAGAGATCTAGTTAAGTGATGTCAGTTCTAAGGGTCCGGGATCCGATCGAGGCCTAACAGCATCGTCTTCAGTTTGGTCCTATTAGCTCGTGATTGATCGCAGAGAGGAAGCAAAGGCACAAACGTCAGTCTAAGGGGAAGCACCTGCCGGGGGGACTCCTCCCTCCAGACCCACCTGGAAGCTGCCTCACCTTCTCTCGCTACCGAGAGTCTGTCATACAAAGTGAAGTAAGTCAGAAAGAGAAAAACGAATACCGTATGCTAACACATATATATCTAAAAAAAAAAAAAAAAAAGGTTCTGAAGAACCTAGGGGCAGGACAGGAATAAAGACGCAGACGTAGAGAATGGACTTGAGGACATGGGGAGGGAGAGGGGAAGCTGGGACGAAGTGAGAGAGTGGCATGGACATATATACACTACCAGATGTAAAATAGATAGCTAGTGGGAAGCAGCCACATAGCACAGGGAGATCAGCTCGGTGCTTTGTGACCACCTAGAGGGGCGGGATAGGGAGGGTAGGAGGGGACATGGGGATGTATGTATATGTATAGCTGATTCACTTTGTTATAAAGCAGAAGCTAACACACCATTGTAATGCAATTATACTCCAATAAAGTTGTTAAAAATAATAATTAAAATAAATCAAAAAATAAAATTAAAAGGACGGAAAGAAGGAGCTAAATTGGCTGAACTAAGTGGTGTTGCTGGAAGATGCCCCTGGCTCAAGTGTTGCCTCAACTTTTGAAGTTCTTCCAGGACACCTTGTGCTTACTTGTTCCCTCCCCTTCCTGCTGTTTTGCAGATCCATCCACTAGGGAATTGTGTGGCAGGAAGGTGTGATTTTTATTTAGTTTGCTCCTGATTCCTTGTTTGCATAGCACCTGCGTGCCGCCTGCAGCCCTGGGGTTCAGGTAAGAGCCTTAGGAAACCATTTCTTTAAATTCAGTTTAAGGCGTCAGAGTCCTAAAGCAGCTCTTGTATTACTGGTGTGTGATAATCCTGCTGAAGTAGGTATCTGTCTACAGGGCTTTGGGTAGGAAAGGGGTTAAGCCAGTTCTGAAATACATTCTTAAGAGGCTAAACAAGAGACGGAGGCAGATTTTGAAGCTCTTCTGCTAGAACTCTGCAGACTGGCTGCGAGGAGGGATGAAACCGTAGCATAAATCATGAGAATTAGCAGACCTTTCTAGAGAGCTTTCTAGAGAAGCCCATGGATTATTTTGCACAAACGTTAACATGTACATTTGTATATTCGTGGCAATACTAACTTACCCAGTGTAGTTTAAAACAAGGCCTTCAGCATATGTTGAAGAAGAAATACATATGTACAAAGTATAGAGAAAGTGGAAGAAAATGTATTCAATGAAGGCAATTTGGAGATTTAGGTTCTTGGACTGTCACGTCTGGGAGGGATGCTGGGTTCACTCATCCCTTGCATTTTTTGCAACCTTTAGAGGCTAGAGGTTTGGAGACGCAGTAAAGATTGCTCAGCTGGGTTCTGGCAGGTCTTTATTAAATCTCTGTATTTGGGAAAGTAAGAATGATGAAGAGTAGAAACCTTTAATCTTGGCCGTGAATTAGGGACAATTAATCTTGTCCTTGGAGAAAATTAATCAGGAGGGGCCCTGAGTAACCTTTCAGAAAGAAATTCAGTAGTGAAGGAGAATGTAGGTCAAGCATAGGAGAAACAACCCAGAAATAGGAAGTAAGAACCTATTTTATTTGGGTCTAACAAACAGTGACTCCAAAGCCATTTGCAGTCTGTATCCCTCTGCCCCTAACCATTTCCGTATGTCAGGTTTGTGGGGTCACAGGGGCTTCCCAGGGTCCCTCCTTCCCCCCGACTTGACATTCAACAGAAGGACTGTGTCCATTCTCTTTGCGTTCACACGGACTGTATTGCTCTGTCTAAGGCAGGGCCTGCTGTGGGATTTTTAATGTATCACCTGAAGGGTTTTTGACCCAGTGGGTCCTCAGCAACTTTGTTGGGCTGAGTGACTACAGATGTCAAACCCTCCTCACTTTGGATGAGCACGCACACCTTTGACAGCTGAAGCCTTGCATCCATCAAAACTTAGGTTAGCTCCAGGAGGGAACCTAAATAACAGGCTTGGGCAGGTTAGCAGCACGTGTGTTTCTCTCTCACGTCAAAGATGGGCTGGGAGGGCAGGGCTGGTCTGTGTTGTCATCAGAGACCAGGATTTCTCTGTCCCCAAAGTGTTGCCCTCCAGTTCATGAGGGAGGGCGCACCCCTTCCCGTGAAGGTCCTGGCCCATCAGGTGCACATGTCACTTTTACCCACTTCCCACTGGCCAAAATCTAGTTTCACGGTGATACCTGGGCTGCAGGGGTGGCTGGGAAATGAGTCTATTGTGGGCAGCCACGTGCCAACCAACATTTCTGTTACCACTGATGATGGTAACATCCAGCCACCTCCCTGGTGAAGATTTGCATGTGGTTGGAACCAGGATAATATTTATTTATTCATTCATTCATTCATTTATTTATTCACTGTCATTCATTTATTCAACCACTCAACAGATATTTGACTGTGAGTGCTGAAAATAAGAAGGTAGGAAGATGCAGTTGCTCTCTTCAAGCTGTTACCTGTAAGTGACGCTAGTCTAGGTGCTGCGTGGAGAAGGGGCAGGGCAGGGGGGGCAGTGATCCAGAGAAGACAAGAGGGAAGGTGGAAGCCGGGGAGGGAAGGATGGGAGACAGACGGCGTCCTAGCTCCAGTGCACTCTGGAGAAACACCAGAAGTAGGAATTAAACATTGAAACTGAGGAGCCAGCCAGAGGCTTTGTGAGAAACGCAAATGTAACTTTTTATTTTGGAAAATAACACATGAATGTAATTTCTACTCTATTCCTTGTGCAAACCGTCATGTCCTTCTTGAAAAATTTTTTCTTTAGAGATGGTGCCACAGCTTATCTCACTGCTTCTTTGGGAGCAAAGCATGTTCCTTTATTCATGATCCTTTGTTGAAGTTTGTCTACCTGCCGGGCCTGGGGTGATACATCTCCGCCCGTGTCAGGTGTGCAGAACCAGGGTAAGAATCACAGAAGGATGGATGTTTGCTTTTATCTCAGCTCTTCTCTGGCTGGAGAGCAAAATGGAGTTTATCCCAATTTGACACCTATAGGAGCTCCTGATCCTTTTTATTACTGGAATAATTGTAACACATTTTGAAACAATTAAAAGGGAAAAATCTAGACCCCCTGCAGAGGTTGGTCTGTGCAAGTTTGATTTGACTAGGACCAGTCACTTCTGAGTTAAACAGAAGAGGAAGGTGTAGGTTATTTATGGAATTTGGCTCTAAGAAAACGCAAGTCAATTTCCTGAAATGGCGTAACTTTGTGATTTTAAAGGGAAACATCTGTCCTTCCGTCCCCAAATACTTCTATTTGCATCAAGCTGCACCCTGAGGCTCATGGAGGCTTCCATATGACGGCGATGTGACCCTCTGGATGACAGTCTAGCTGGGTTTTAAAAATGTATATGTAGAAATAGTTTTATAGGCACTTTAAAAAAGCATTTTAAAAAGAGATAAGCTCCCATAACCTCACCATTCCGAAACCACCACGTGCGTTTGGATATATTTGCTTCTAGTTTTTGTTACTATGCATATAGGCACACGTTGCTTTATTGCGCTTCACAGACAGCGCGTTTTGTCACAAACTAAACATTTGTGGCAGCCCTACATTGAGCATTTGCTCACTTTGTCTCTCTGTGTTCCATTTGGGTAATTCTCACAGTATTTCAAACTTTTTCATCACCATTACATTTGTTCTGATGACCTGTGATCTTTGATGTTACTACCGCTACTGCTGAAGCCTCAGACAACGGTTAGCGTTTTTCAGCAATAAAGTATTTTTAAAATTAAGGTATGTACATTGTTTTTCAACATAAGGCTATGCACACTTAATGGACTACGGTATGGTATAAACATAACTTTGATATGACCTGGAAACCAAGAAATTTGTGTGACTCAATTTTTTTCTGATCTTTACCTTATTGCAGTGGTTCTGGAACCAACTTTTCTACTCTCTGTCTCTGAATTTGACTATTCTCAGTACCTCATGTAAGTGGAATCACACAGCATTTGCCCACTTGTGACTGGCCTAGCTCACTGAGCACAGTGTCTTTAAGGTTCACCCATGTTGTAGCCTGTGTCAGAATTTCCCTCCTTTTTAAGGCTGAATCATATCCATCATGTGGGTGGACCACATTTTGTTTATCCATTCATGCATCAATGGACACGTGGGTTGTTTCCACCTTTTAGCGATGGTGGACAGCATTGCTGCTGTGAACGTGGGCGTAGAAATATCTGCGGGAGTCCCTGCCCTCGGTTCTTTTGCGTGTATGCCCGGAAGTGGGATTGCTGGAGCAAATGCTAATTCCATGTTTGCTCTACTGTTCAAAATGTGCTTTCATGCACAGTGTGCTCCAATTTGGTTTTTACAGTAGCCCTGTGAGGGGAGCATTAATCTCTCCTCTGGCTGCAAGGAGGGGTTTGCCCAAAGTGAAACGGTCAGTTGGAGTTTCTTTGCCCAAAGCGAAACAGTCAGCGGGGGTTTCCTGACTTGGAACGTGGCTCTCTCCCGGATCGCCCACCATTAGAGTCTCCCCAGTCACACGTGCCCTTCCAAGGACAGTGTCCTTCGATTGTGAGCGGCCAGTCTGCTCCCAGCTGCCCCCCGACCCGCCCTGACTATGCTGTCCAAGCTGGACCACTGCAAAGAGCAGAGGCTTTGTCCGTGGCCCCGGCAATGAGAGTTTCTCCCTTCAGTCTGTTTCCGTCTTTCCGTTCAGCTCTGTCATCTGAGCCATGAGGATCTGGTGGCTCCTGTTCGTCTCTGGGGCCTGCGCAGGGATGGTGAGCTCACAGGACACCTGCAGGCAGGGCCACCCTGGCATCCCCGGGAACCCGGGTCACAATGGATTGCCCGGGAGAGATGGACGTGATGGAGCAAAGGGCGACAAGGGGGACGCAGGTACCCACCACCTGTTCCTGCAGCTGCCCCCCGCTCATCCCCCTTCCTTTCACCTCCTTCATTCATTCATTGCCTGTGTGCTCACCCCTCTCCATCCATCCATCCATCTATCCATCCATCCATCCATCCATCCATCCACTGCCCAGAAGACACTGATGGAGAGCCTGCTCCGGCCAGATCCAGACTGGGTGTGGGGTACAGGGCAGCACGAGCCATGAGGACCCCTGTCCTCGTGGGCTTTCCCACTGAGTGGGGCTGCCTGTCTGCTGGCCACCATCTCCGATACTACAGGGCCGTTTTCAGGAGCTTGTGATGTCATAGATCTTTCTGCCTCAGGCGACAGGTATGAGGGATCTTTGGCACCGGGTCCTAGAGAGACATCCGACGGGTAAGTCTCTGGCAGAGAGCACCCAGCATGGTGCAGGCCTTGCCGTGAGGCAGGCGGTGCAGAACGCCAGAGAACAGGAAGGGTCCTGGAGCCCCACAGCCGCTCCTCGGGTATCTGTGCTGTGTCCCGGGACCTCCCCACGGTTTGGGGACTTGGGGACAGGATCCAGCCTCTGGGAGGGACAGTCCCAAAAGCCAGGATGTGTGAGTGGTTTCCATGACAAAAACCTGTAGGCTTGATTTCTGAATGGGGTTCTTGAGCCCTGGTCTGACCATAGGGTCCTACACCTAAGATGTAAGCAGAGGACCCATCTGGGTGCAGGAAGAAAACATCGAAACTTCTAGTGACCTCTTAAAAGATAAATTTAGGTGAAGAAAAAATTGAGGTTTTAAAATGCTTGCTATATGAATCCGTGTGAATGGCCTCACTTGGTCGGTTTGCAGATACACACGTGTCATTTGAGGCCTGGGCCATGTCCCGTGGGAAGAGTGGTGGCCCACAGTGTGAGCAGGCTGGCCGGGACCCTCCCGGGTTCACTGACCTTCAGCATGTTGGGATGTTTTGCACTAAGTGTGCCTGGACCAGGGGGTTCTCAGATTATGCTGTTGAACTATCACAAAGAGATGGGTGCTGAAAATACTCCCGCAAAAAACCTGATGGTTGAAGGTGAACTTGATAATGCAAAGCAGTAAAGCATCCTGAGAAGGGCAGAGCTGCCATTTCTATTAATGTGAATTCTTCAAATGTGCATTAGAAGGAAAAAACAATGATGAACGTCAGTCAGATCTGTCAAGACGTCTGCCCCCGCAACCCGGAAATTATTATAACTGTGAGCAGGTGAATTTACATTTACGTTCATTGACATGCCCTTGTCCTGACTGTGGATGTCCCAAGGGTATCACAGACTCATAGGAAGATGGACACCAATTAAGTAAGGCATTTCAGGACTCGTGAGAAGCGTGAACACAAGCCGCTGTCATTTTTCTCGGTACGTCGTATGAGAGCCTCACCAAACTTAATGATAAACATTTAGAAGCCTCTTTTGATATTTCTTGATTATACCAGGGAATTAGATATTCCTCTGGCAATATTAAAGTGGCATAATACACAGCAGTTTCAGGATGGACTGAAATTAATGCTTTGCCAGTAAGTGCTGTTAGAATATGGATTTTGAAAAAGCCTTTAAGATTTGGAGAAACAAGAATTACTCAGCGTGGGAAGTCTGCTGCACAGATGTGTGACATTCCAAGTGTTTGTAGGTGTTTCCCTGCTCAGGGCGTTTGTGGTCTAGCGTTTACTGAGTAGGCTGGATGGGGCGGAGGGTCACCAGGGGCAGTGTCCCTTCTCACCAAGCCCCGCCCTGCACTCGGCGCTGGGCTCTCCTACCGGATAACAACACCTCCAGTAAGTCCACGCCGCTTTGGGGCATTAGGCCCGTCTCATTTCTGGGGAGTGAAGGGTCCTGTCCAAGTGAACGGCAAACCCTCCATCTTATTGAAATCCATCCCTTGTCCTCCCGCTGGTATCACGTGTGTACATGTATGTGTACATGTGCGTACACGTGCGTGCGTGTGCCCGCACACGCGCACAGGATACCCTGTGTCTTTGAGATCCCTCCCCCCACCCCGCCCCCGTCACTCCCACGCCCCTTCTCACTGCGAGGACCGCCTTGGATCCACCAGCGGGCTGGGCCGGGAGAAGCGCGGGAAGGCATCGCTCAGATGACGCTGTCAGAACCTGACTCCACGGCCCTCCAAGCGTCACGGCCCGATGCTGGCCTTTCTCCTGGGAGGCTCTTTGTGGGCCTCCTGTATCATCCCTCGGAGTGGACGATGCACTCGCTGCCTGCACCCCCGGGGCTGGGGCACGTGCTCTCCGCGGCCGCAGTTTTCTCACCCGGTTCCTCGGAGGCGCCCGCCGCCCAGGGAACCTCAGCGCTTGTGCAGCGCCGGGCAGCCTCCCTGGCTTCTCCTTTACACTCTTCTCGGTGGAAGTGTCACATCCGTCTCCGTGACTCAAACTGCGGGCTCACAGCCTCGCTTTCTCTACAAACGTCTGAGTCCCCTTTGCTCCAGAGCCGAGGCAACATTTCTGCAGGCCAAGGGCGCGGGTGGGAGCCAGGTCACAGCCCCCGTCTGGCGCTCATCCTGTCTCTCCGGCTCAAGGGCGCATGTGTGCGCTGGGTGGTCTATCTCCAAATTTGGGAGGTTTAATTTAAAACGCTCGTTATAACATATTTTATACACACAAAAGAAGATAGATGGAGAGAGAAGGAAGACAGATGCTCCTGTATCCAACACCAAATTTCTCTACCTCTCCGCTACTCATTCTCTCTCCTTCTTCCTCCATGGTCCCCGTTCTTTCAAGTTTCACATACTTCCTTAAGACTTGCATGCTATATATATAGTTTATTTAGATTATATACAACACGCATGTTTCTTAGAAGGATATTATGTCACATTTCTCACACTAAAAATTAACTTAATCTTTGTCTTACCGTTTTCAAATGTATTTGTGTGTATGTTTTATTTTATTTTTTTAATTTATTTATTTTTTGGCTGCTTTGGATCTTCGCTGCTGCATGCAGGCTTTCTCTAGTTGCGGCAAGCGGGGGCTGCTCTTCATTGCGGCATGCAGGCTTCTCTTGCGGTGGCTTCTCTTGTTGCAGAGCACGGACTCCAGGCGCGTGGGCTTCAGTAGTTGTGGCTCGTGGGCTCTAGAGCGCAGGCTCAGTAGTTGTGGCGCACAGACTTTGTTGCTCCGCAGCACGTGGGATCTTCCCGGACCAGGGCTCGAACCCGTGTCCCCTGCATTGGCAGGCGGATTCTTAACCACTGTGCCACCAGGGAAGTCCCGTGTGTATGTTTTATAATGAACATGTTTTTAGAACATTACCTGTACATAGCTTACAAACATACGTGTGTGGACATAACATAGGATGCCGGTGCTCCGGGCAGCCTGTTCTGAGCATCAGGACTCCTGCGTGCAGCAGAACCTCATGGCCTGATGTCCCAGTGGGTCTCCACGGCACCTTGACCACCACTGTAAGGCGCTAGAGAGATCCTTCTGGAACCCTCTGTCCCATGCCAAGTAGTGTGGTGTAACCATGGTCATCTGCGCTTTCATAGGAGGCTAGTACTTCCACTCTACCCCCCACAGAGTGATGGAAAAGGAGCACAAATGACAAAGCCACCCCCCCCCAAGTCCTTGTCACGTGAGAAACATGCAATCGTGATCATCCGAGCTGGCTGCTTGGGAAGCCCACCAGTCCACTGCACAACCCGCTTCTTGGCGCACTCAGCACCCTTGCTGCTTGCCCCTGCCTGCCCTCACCCCGCAGGTCTGTGAGGGGTGGGGTGTGCGGGTCAGGCTGGGGCTCCCCGGGACCCTCCATCGCTGACTGGGACCCACATCGAGGGAAACTGGAGCTAGAATTTTAACTTCTGCCTATTTTCTCATTTTCCATCAGGCGAACCAGGACATCCTGGTGGCTCAGGGAAGGACGGGACGACCGGAGAGAAAGGAGAGCCAGGTCAGAGATGGCTTTCCGTCCTGCTGTGTCCGCAGCCAGAGCCGTCAATGATAGGATAGGAATTATTAAGTGCTTACCTAGGACAAGTCCCTTACGAGGCTCCAAGGATGCTCCAGCGATAAAGGCCACACGGTCCTTCTCTCCAGAAGCTCAGGGTTCACTGCAGAGATGGGCAAACTTTCCATAAAGGGCCAGATAGTAAATATTTTCAGCTTTGCGGGCCACGGGGTCTCGGTCACAACTACTCAGCTCTGCCGTCATAGGGAAAAGCTGCGTAGAGGATGCCTTAGTAAGTGGGGCTGCGTTCCAGTGAAACCTGAATTTTACATAATTGTCACGAATCTCAGAACACGATTTGTGACCATTTAAAAGTGTCAACTGTTCTTAGCTTGTGGGCTGTCAAAAACAGGTGGAGGCTGGACGTGGCCCGCGCTCCATGGTTTGCTGAAGCCTGATTTAGTGCTGGGCCCTGAGGAGGGACGCTGGATTCTGACTCAGCGCCTGGGGTGGCACTGCAGCAGAAGGTGGCCCTTGAGCCGGGCCCTGGAGGCAGGGAGGATGCTGGCAGCTGTCGCCCGAGGGGGAGGGAGGATGGTTACCACGGCAACACGAACAGTGTTTTCGACCCACTGGGTCGTTCTAAGTGCCTTCCAGGTGTTGACTCACTTAATACAACAGCCTATATTTTATTTGTTATCCCAGCCGTACAGGTGAGGAACCAGGTGTAGCTGGGGAATCAGCTTGTCATTAACGGTGGAGACTGGGCTGGATCCTGGCGTCTCACTCCAGAGCCGGAGCTCGGACCACGGCTGTCCAGTCAGGGTGTGGGAAGCGGGAGGCACCGGGGAGGGGGGAAGGCGGAACCACGACAGCGCCACGCACCTGGCGTGGTGCACAGGCCGGCAGACGCGGCGAGCAGTGAGCGCCCACCCAGGACCACCTGACTCCAGTGAGGGGATTCTCGGGGGCCGTCACGTCATCGGGGCTGCACGTCAGCTACCAAAGCAGCCCTGGTGAATCTGCTGTCTGCCTTCTTCCCTCTTCCAAAGATGCGTCCCCTCAGGGACGGGCAGAGAGCTGTCATTTCTTTCTTTTGTTTTTGGCCGTGTCGCTCGTCATGCAGGATCTTAGTTCCCCAACCAGGGATTGAACCCGCGCCCCCTGCATTGGAATCGCAGACTCTTAACCACTGGGCCTCCAGGGAAGTCCCAAATAACTGTCATTTCTAACGTGAGCCCCGATGCTGATATAGTAGAGTCAAAGGGTGTTTTGTGCACATGTGTGTATCTGCACAGTTTAGGAGTAAATTAACTTTCAAACCCTGAGCACATGCTGAAACTGTGCACTGCCTTATCTCATTCACTTGCTCAATAATAGAAAAACCAAAGTTGTTTTCACAAGCAAAGTTTCACAAATCGTCTCTTCCTCCATTCTTTCTTGTCCTACCCAGGAGCCGATGGAAACGTTGAAGCAAAGGGCGTCAAAGGTGATCAGGGCTCAAGAGGCCCCCCAGGGAAACACGGGCCAAAGGGACTTGTGGGCCCCATGGGAGAGAAAGGCCTCAGAGGAGAGACCGGCGCCCAAGGGCAGAAGGGGGAGAAGGGCGACGTGGGTCCCGTTGGCCCAGAAGGGCCAAAGGGCAGCACTGGACCTTCGGGCCCAACTGGTTTACCGGGCCCCGTGGGCCCCACCGGAAAGCCGGGTCCCAGGGGAGATGCCGGCCCCCTGGGGCCACAGGGTGAGCCCGGAGCCCGGGGAATGAGAGGCTGGAAAGGGGATCGAGGAGAAAAAGGGAAAATTGGGGAGACGCCAGTCTTGCCCAAAAGCGCCTTCACCGTGGGGCTCACGGTGCTGAGCAAGTTCCCTCCGTCAGACGTGCCCATCAAGTTCGACAGGATCCTGTACAACGAGTTTGGCCACTACAGCGTGGCCACGGGGAAATTCACCTGCCACGTCGCCGGCGTCTATTACTTCACCTACCACATCACCGTTTTCTCCAGGAACGTCCAGGTGTCTTTGGTCAAAAACGGGGTAAAAGTCGTGCACACCAAGGACGGTTACATGAGCTCCGAGGACCAGGCGTCCGGTGGCATCGTCCTGCAGCTGAAGCTCGGGGACGAGGTGTGGTTGCAGGTGACGGGAGGGGAGAGGTTCAACGGCCTGTTTGCGGATGAGGACGACGACACCACGTTCACGGGCTTCCTTCTGTTCAGCAGCGCGTGATGGGTCAGGGGGCGGGGAGCGGTTATAACTCTGTCTCTCCATCCGCCCGAATCAGCTTGGTGAAGACATTATTTGATGATTTTACCACGTTAATTATATCACCACTGTCATAACCATAAAAAGGTGAAAGTTATTCCTAAAACTGAGTCTATAGAATTCGCTATCCTTCCAAGAGTAAATGTAAAAATACCTGCTCTGTTTATTACAGTGTATTTGATATTTTCCATCATTCCCGTGATCTGAAGAATCCTTTGCTCGGGCGTTCCTTGTGGGGAGTGTTTTGATATCATTTTAGTGCTCGAAGGAGCCGTGTGATGATGTATCTCCCATCTGAATTCCTGAGGACATTACAGGGAAAGAAAAGGAAGTGTTTATTCCATCTGTGACTAATAAGAGTTTGGGCTGGTGACAATGGCACAGCCCAGGAAACTGCAGGACACTCTGCTCACTTTCTATCTTGGGTTTTCATCACCATTCAACTCAACAAACAGTTGTTAGTAAACTGTTTGCCAAACTTGACTCTGTTTTAGTTTCCCTCCGTATCCACAGTTCCGTATCTGCAGATTCAACCAACCATGGTTGGAAAATATTTGGAAAAAAAAAAAAATCAGGAAGTTCCAAAAAGCAAAACTTGAATTTGCCAACCTGGAAACTGCTGACATAGCATTTACACTGTACTAGGTAATTTAAGTAATCTAGAGGGGAACTGCCCTGTGGTCCAGTGAATAATCCCCTCCTAAAATTCTGGAAGCGTTAACTATGCTTACGTTAACTCCATACACTTTTCCATCAGCTGAGAGCAACTAATAAAGAAGCAAGAGGAGACAAGCCCAGTGCATATTCAAGAGACAGCATCTTCCAGACCACAGCCTGGGACTCTGACGGACTTACAGCCGTTCTCTCCACACGTCAACCAAGTCAGCGCAGTTGTGACAGTATCTTCATTCCTTGGGAAAATGGGAATTTTCTGAGTTATCATTATAAGCAGTCAGCACTGCTATAGATGAAAAGGTGAAAAATTACTTGGTTTTGGAAAACTTTGGATATATGTGGAAATCATTTCTGTTTATAGGTATTTTATTGGCTTTCCTTAATGTATGTTTCTTCTACAACAGAGCCAGGACTCGGGTGAAGCACGTGAGACACCCCAAGTCCCCCACTTGCCTTGGCGCCCTAACGTTGGCCCTGCTGTAGGGACTGATCATTTTCTTTATTGAGCTGGAGTGTCCTTATGCTTTGGCTTCTTTCAATTGCAATAAGCCGAGCTGTTTTTCCCCAGTGTTAAGTCTGGTGTTGTTATGGACCAAACAATTCGTGTACTAGCTCCCTTCTGTTTAGGGTCAGAACTTTATAGGTGAGATAGGCATAAAGGAAAAAAGTACAGTTTATGACCAGAATATTGGATACAAGCTTTCATAAAATTCTTTTTTTTTTTTGCAGGGCAAATGTATAAGATGAAATGTAAAACATGTTATAAAGAACTTCAAAAGGATAAAGTTGATTGGGGAGGTGTCTGATCTGCCATTTGGAATTATCTCTCATCTGCTGTCTGTGGATCTGGTCTGCAGTTTTTACAAGTCTAACTACGCCAGGCTCCCTGAGACACAAGACACCTCGTTAACGTAGCACAAGCCAGCATCCTTTGAGGGTGTTTTTACACTTCAATGTTTGCATTAAAAATGGTTAGGAACCATTCTGGGCTAAAGAAAAGCTCTCAGATTTGAAACTCCTTTTAAAAAATATGATAAAGTAAGTAGTTTTGTCACATATATTGATGAATATTTTTACATGGCAGATTTGACATCTGTGTAAGGGCCTGCCGTGCAGGCCTGCGATGTGGGGTGGCTGTCCCCAAGGACCAACCAGCCACAGACGATGCGGTATTAATCGCCACGGAGTTAGGACTTTGGGGATTTTAAATAATTTGGAATCTTTGATGAAAAAGTCCGCAGAAGATGAAATCGCGACTTACCGTATGTACACAAACAAACGCAGAATTTCTAGTTAAGCTGTAGAGACTTGTGTAAGCGCACCCTGGCGCTTGCCTTTACTAAATTTTCATTGTTCTCTTTTTATCACTGGGGCATTTTCTCCCCACCAGGCTACTCTGAAAACAAACTCCATTTAACAGTAAATTGTTGTGAGGACGGAAAAGGGCGGGTTAGAAGCCCGCCCCAGTTGGCCCTCGATTCTGGCTCTCTGGAACTTCAGAGAAGGTTCCGGGGCTGCTCACATCCAACAGGTGTTCCCAGGAGCAGACTCTACCTCAGGCCCACGCATTCAGGTGAGATACAAGGTTCCGTTGGCGCTGGTCCTTGGTACAGGGACACGAAGCATCCTTCGGCACGGCACGCAATGCCCTGCGCGCCGGGCGCTGGGGGACTGGATCAGGGGCGTCCGGTTCCGCCCGAAGCCGAGGCCCAGCAGCAGCCTCCGCGCTGTCCTCCAACAGGGTCATCCTCACGGGCCGTACAGGGGATGCTCCGAGCGCTGCACAGCCTCCGCTCGCGGACACAGGGAGGGCGCCCCCCGGCCCCATCCCTCACCCTCTCCGCCGCTGCCCTCCCGCCCCCGTACTCCCTCCGTCGGTGACTGCAGCTTGGCAGATTCCACCCCCCGACAAGCTGCGTTGTCGATCATGTTATCGATCACTGCGAGTTTACAGTCGATGGATGGAGGTCCACCGACAGCTCTGGCTGCAGGGCGGCTGGGACGTGCGGGCGCAGTGCCTTGCGTCTCGCACCCTCCTGGAGCGGAGGCCTACGGAGGGCCACGGGTCTCAGTTCAGGGTGCCGGGCAGTGGTCGGCCTGCCGCCCACGTGTGTTCCCGGCAGCGGGTGCGAGGCTCGGCGCCGCGCAGACCCTGCCACTCCCCCGGCCACGTGGGAGGGCGGGGCGTCCTGCGGTTCCCCCTCCAGGCGCGCGGGGGCGCTAGACGCGGCGGCCTGGGAAAGCAGCGGGCGACGCTCTGGCCCTGGGGACGCCGATGTGCGCTGGCCCCGCGGCCTCCTGCCCTTCCCGGAAGCGCGGGGTCACGTGGGAGGCGGGCGCTGCCGTGGAGACGCGGCGCGCTCTCCGGCGGAGCTGCGGGCTGGGTATCGGAGTCCGGTTTCGTGGGCCCTCGGGGCTCGGAGCGGCTGCAGCGGCTCGATGCTGTGCGCCCGGCGGCTGGGCGGCCTCGGGGCCGGGCTCCGGGGCCGGTGGGTCAGCACCAGCTGGTCCCCGGTGGGCGCCGCCTTCAACGTCCAGCCCCAGGGCCGCCGCCTGGACCTGTTCGGCGAGCGCCGGGTGAGCGGCCCGCGGGACCCGGGCGGGGTCGCCTCGCGCGGGAGGGAGGTGTCGTTTGCCCGGGGTGACCTTGCGGGCGGCCCCCCCTCTCTGAGGGGCAGGTGCCGGGGGCCGGGGCGGCCCCAGGTTCGGGTCCAGCACCTGCCCAGCGAGGGCCCCAGGTGCAGTGGTCCTGAGCGCGTCCCCCGAACTCCCAGCCCTGTAGCTCAGACCCGACCCCAGTGAGGCGCGGGCCGCGCGGTGAGCTCACCTACGGCCTCGGTGTCTTGATACCAGGACCCGCTTCTGTCAATTAGTGTAATTAGTCTTTCCATTGATGCCCGAAGTGACGTTATTAATATTTTCCCAAGCTTTTCGGCTTTGTTTCTTTTCCTTTAAAACACCGAGTTGGAGAAGAGTCTGTTGTCCTCTAAGGCGGTGCAGCCCATCACGTAGATTTTTTCCACAGAAAATCACTGACTTCTTGTGTTGTTCCTAGTTGTTTGTGTATCCACGCGACCCGCTCGGTGTCTGGCATTCAGTAGACACTCATTGTTTTTTTCCTTTTTAAAATTTATTTTATTGAAGTCGAGTTGATTTACAATGTTGTGTTAATTTCTGCTCTACAGCGAAGTGACTCAGTTATACACATATACATCCTTTTTCGTATTCTTTTCCATGGTTTAGCCCAGGATATTGAATATAGTTCCCTGTGCTCTACAGTAGGATCTTGTTGTTTATTCATCCTGTATATAATAGTTTGCACCTGCTGACCCCAAACTCCCACTCCTTCCCTCCTCCACCGCCCACCTCCTGAAACTCATTATTGAATGATTGACTGAATTAAAGGTGAAAGGAAGGAAAGCTTGGAAGGGATTTATCTGTGCCTGCTTTACTTTGCATTTATGGATTTTGCTCACTTTGCACTGTTACTTTTATTTTTGCCTTTTTAATTTTTTCATTATTTCTACTATTGCTTTTCTTGGAAAGGTGAGTGTGGGATATAATTACAGTGAGCCTAATAATGTGAGTTTTTCTTATTTAACGCCCAAATTTCTTCGTTTTAAAATTATTTTTGAATGAAATTTGCTACACCACCTTCCATGGGGGTAAATAACGTTGGTACTGACGTAATTGGTGTGAGAACGAGCACAGCCTGTGGGTACTGAGCAAAAAGACGTGAGGGGTAGGCTTGGTTATGGGTGGATGAAATAGATCTAATTTTAGTTTTATTAATTTTTCTTCTGTACATCATAATTTTAGGTGCTGATATCAGATTTTCAAATACGTGAATTGGTTTTTGATTAAAAAAAGAAACCCAAAGGCTTATGTAGTTTTCTGGTATCACCATAACTTGGTAGGCTGAGATTTAGAATTCCCAGAGGAGTGTGGGGAGGTGTGCTGAGAAGTGAAAATAAAGTCTGTAATTGAATCATATTAAATCATTGTAATAACCAAGTATATTTTTGGTCCTCATTCTGTTTTGCCGCTGCCTGTCTTTATTTTCTCCAACTCGTTAATATAGTTTGAAAATAAGTTAACAACTTCCTGCATTCCTTCTTGCGGAAACAGTGGGCCTTGTCAGGCCTGAAAGCTTCGCCTCTTGGTATTTCCCGCAATTGACATGTTAAGCATCTCTTGATACAAAGCTGTCTACGCAGCGGTCTGGCCCTGTTCACTTGCCTCATCCGTGAGTTCCTGCCTGTGTTGGGCCCTGCGTTGGGCAGCTGGTTAAAATGGCGAAGAGCGGGGTTCCTAGTCCCCGGAGCTGCCCTTCTGCAGAGGCAAGACTTTCCAACACCAGTTGCAGTCCACGAGCGTGGAGAACGTGTGGGCTTTAGGGATGCTTGGAGCAAGTTGAGGCTTTCCCACTGTTTGCTAGTGACCACAGACATGTTCGTTTAACCTCTGAAAGTGTTACCTTATCTGTAAAAAGGTGATTGATAGTTTGTGCTCTAGGATTGTGTGATTTACACGGGAGAACCTGTGTAAAGTACACGGTACACTTTTGGCATGCCGTCGATGTGTAATAGGTGTTTGTGGTTTTTGTCTGCCTTCCTGGGCATCATAACAAGTGTGATCGAACCGGTACAAGAAGATGGTCCTTCCTTCCCATTAGATAGTGATTTTTATCTTTATCAAGGTGCTGAAGTGCTTTTGGAAGGTATAAAATTTGCTGCCAGTTTCCGCCTGTGACTTGGTTTAGCATGTTTATTAAATCTTTCTCAAATATATATGTACTCAGTAATCAACTCACCATCCCTATTTCATAGTTTGTGGAGTGCTTGA